CAGAATCAGCAAGGAGGCTAGGCAGTTAAGCAAAGAAAATTTGTAGCAGGGAGTTGCAAGTTCAAGCCAGGGAGTTGTGAGTTCAAGCCAGGGAGTTGTAAGCTACAGTAGTGTAGTGGTGAGAGACTCTTGTCTCTTGCACCCATCTCCCAGGTTTGAGGGTCACTGAGGACAAGCTTGTCTGGGAAGCTCAGCTCATGGTCAACTCAGCATTTATCCATCTCTAGTTAATAAATGAGTTCCTGGTTTTTCCTGGGTGTTGTGTAATGCAAAAATGGTTTTGGCAGGTCAGCAAACCAATGATGGTTGTAGAACTGCCAGTGGCATTAAGTGCCCAGGAAAACTGACCCCCCCCCCTCCCTAGTTGCCGCTACCAGGATGGGCAATTACTACAACAACAGTTAAAGCCTGCAACATGCTGTGGATGTTCTGCAATGTTAAGAATTGGCAACAGGCCTATGGCCTAATAAACACTGAAAGCACTATATTAATATTATTATATTATGATGCTTCCAAGCCTCTGTTATTGACATCTGTGTGGTGACCTCATTGAAGTATGCAACTATACTCATGGTTTATAAAAGGTGCCAGAAGGATTACTAGAATTTGAAATGCATCCCAACACAAAGGGCCAAGGCTAAAAACTAAAAAACTGATTTGCAATCAAACAATTAACAACACATCTCGCTTCAAGTCACTGACATGTGGAACAGCAACCCTGATGTCACTAATTACAGCGTTAATGCACATAGTATGACCGTGTTCAAGAACAGACTATATAAAGCTATGGAGAAATATATATATTCAGATATAGCACCATAGCAAACTTGGAGGAAGTCAAGTAGCTATTTCAAACTATCGTCAGTTATGAAAAGATCCAGTCAAAGGATTTGTTTTTAGATATCCCATGAACAAGTTCCTAGAAGTACAAGAATCATTGACTGGCCACAGCATGCCTATTCTTCATCACCGGCTTCCCTGTGATATGAATAACCACCCTAATTTAAACAAGCTAATTCTGACATCGAATAAGAGTACTGCATACAATACTATTCTCTGAATTGTCATGGTAGAATATTGTTCATTTGTATCTCGGAAAAATTTATTTGTACATCATTGAATGCAGAATTAAGACCAATAAAAAAGTATATTAAATAAATAAATTAATTATTCCAATCAGCACTGTTGAGAGTTTATTGGTAGAATAAAGAGGTGATGGGATGATCTGTTCTGGAAATGAGGTCAAAAAACAATTTACGTACATATTCCTGTTGTACAGGGCCCACTACCAGGCTGTACTCCCCACACAGCCACATCCCATGCTGCTTGACAGGGTTGATATATGCTATTATGCGGTACTATATATGTTAAGCTCCATCTACACACACAAACTTATTGTCAGTCTTCCATCTTCTTCTTTGCATTGTCAGTCTTGCATCTTCTTTGGGTTTTCAGTCTTGCATCTTCTTTGCGTTGTCAGTTTTGCATGTCATGCCAAAGTTTGACCAACAAGATGGAAGACTGACCAGCGTCCACACTATTCAAACTTTCCTTCAGTCTAACTTGTGCACTGTCGGCTATGGAGGAGCTAGTACTGCTTGCTGCAGTGATCGCAGTTTGTGCCTCCAAAATTAGGTTGAAGCAATGCAGACATGTGTGGTAGTGCCGAAAATGGTTTTTAAAAATACCACAATGAGGGTTGATTGACAGCATCCCTACCAACACCAGGCCGCATTGATGACTTCATTTTGACACATTCTTTCCAGTGAAGAGTTTACTTTCTTTGTTACAAAGTCTTTGTTTGCTGTAGGAGCAACTTGTTTGCACTTAGCAATCAATGCTGCATAGGCCAGCTCTCTCTTGTTCATGTCACTGTAGCTTTTTGATTGAATTTGCCACAAACAAGGGAAACTATAATATAATTCAATAAACTTGCCAAAAGAAATCTAGAAACCAGTGTCGGATATCTTAAGATATGAAAAACTAGAGCTAGCAAGGAACAATGTCAACTGAGATAGAGTAAAAGTTTGACTAATTAGTTGGTTGACCTAACTTGACTGTCCACACACTCAAACTTATCACCAGTCTTGCATGAATCCAAAGGGATTGCCGGTCCATCTTTTCCAGGTTTGTCAAAACTCAAACTCAGCCTACCCCTCAAGTTGGCGTCGTGCAAGACATCAAACTTTGAGCTTCCGCACACTCCATCTTGTTGTTCAAACCTGGCATGACATGCAAGACTGACGATAAGTTTGAGGCTTTGAGCGTGTGGACAGGGCTATAGTGATGTGTTTGAGAATGTTAGATGTGTTGAGCCATTTGTTAGAAGTACCGTCAATGTCACGTAGATCACCCCTCGGCAGCTACTGCAGTATCGTCAAACAGGGTAAAAAGGGACGGTTTTGAGCATTTTTTGTTAATAACTTCTAACCATGAAACATTTCAGAAACAAGTTTGGGCTCATTTTGAAGCTCTTTACGAGGGCTATTGAATGGCATCTCCAAAAAAATTCCATATGCCATACGTGAGGTGCCAGGCGCAAAATAAAAGCATCGCAAATTACCCCAGGAATTGGGGCAATCCAGGACACTTGCAATAAAACTTAATTTTAAAACATTTGAAGCATGCAGAGTGTACTCATCTATTACTAACAGTACTCTGAAGTCCTCCTCTTTCATTGTAGATGATGTAGAGGTAGAATAAATGACATTTTCTGTGATTTTTACTTGTTTTTCCTTTATTGATATGATATTACCATATACATTAATTACCGTATTATTGATGTGATATTACCGTATCCATGAACAGGCAATTGAGCATATCAACTACCTTGTCCACTGCAAGCTTCATATCAGCAGCCTTATAGCATTTTTTCTGTATCTGTAAGCTTACAGGACGGCTTGTAATTTCACACCATTTTAATTGGGTTAAGTGAATTTACTATAAAAAAAATCATGAAAAACATACCTGAAACAGAAAGGAATATTTTAGTGACAACCATCATATGTTTTGGAGAAATAAATCATAGTTTAGGTCAATTACTTTTCATTCTATGATGCCTGGTGTACAATTCTATATATGACATTCTGTGCACAATTTTGTGATGAACAATGATGCACTAATTTTTTGATGAGTGAAATTTTTTTTGCTGAGCAAGGTAAATGTAATATATTCTTTGTTTTTAATCAATTTTTTTCTTAACTGGAGCCTTTGCTAACTGAGGTTCTACTGTAAATGCGTTTTTAAGGGTGTTCTAGACCCTAATTACCCTGAGGGGGTGTCCCTTTTTACCCTGTCACACAGAAATGGCTGCCATTTTTTTTTTTGGAATGAGAGAGGCAAATTCCGTCAATTACGTTTTCAAGCCTGGGTGCAACTTTTATGTAAGTAAAATTTTTTAATACGGCAATTTTTTTTTTTTTTGCTCCAGACTTTAGCAGAGGTACCATCAAATGGGGTAAAAAGGGACGGGCGGGGTAAATCAGGGCGCACGTCCCACATTTTGTAGAAATGTTGTAGCAGCCTAAACTAATCAAAATATTGCAAAACTAAAAATAGTGGCATAAACTTCAACATTTTTACTATCTATTATGTGTAAAGCTAAAGCAGCCCCACCATTACCCAGTCTTCCAAAATCTCTCTGATATGATAGAATATGCAGATTAATCAGTAGCAAAAACAATTTATACTCCCCGCTTTGCTTTGCTCTCTTTTACACCCTACTTCTATCCATGGCTATTAACAGGCCATGAGCCATCATTTTTCAATTATTCTCTAACGTAGAAGCATAGAGGTGATGCACAAGCTGTATGAGGTCTGGTGGTTATTGTGAGAAGTGAAGCTTTTTCTTACTTTTGATTTGATTTTGTTTGAATTCAGATGGCGTTTTCATTGCTTTCAGTTTCATGATGAACTTGCAATTTAGTCAAACTATTGATATAAGCCTAATATTTTTCTGGCAGAGTGCATAGTTGCCAATGCATGAGCTTGCCCTTTTTATGAATATTTGAGGCATGTTTGCATGAGATAAGTCCAACCTTGGTCAACATATCAACATCCTAGTAACTCCTGCCTCTGATGTGTTCAGTCCCTTTGCACTCCAGTATTTTATGAGTTCAACTCATAATCAGCTTGTGCTGTTCAGCTTGTGCTGCTCTGCTTGTGCTGCTCAGCTTGTGCTGTTCAGCTTGTGCTGCTCAGCTTGTGCTGTTCAGCTTGTGCTGTTCAGCTTGTGCTGTTCAGCTTGTGCTGCTCAGCTTGTGCTGCTCAGCTTGTGCTGCTCAGCTTGTGCTGTTCAGCTTGTGAGCTTGTGCTGTTCAGCTTGTGCTGCTCAGCTTGTGCTGCTCAGCTTGTGCTGTTCAGCTTGTGCTGCTCAGCTTGTGCTGCTCAGCTTGTGCTGCTCTGCTTGTGCTGCTCTGCTTGTCTCCCATATTTCATCACACTATGGATGGACTCTAATGTTCAGACTTGGATGAATGACAGGAACCAAAACCATTATGAAGGTTACTGCCTCAATGAAATCTAATATAATTGAAGGTTTTTCCATATACTTATAATCAAAAAACAAATGAAAATTAGAAAATAAAATAACAAACAACATTTTGTTAAGGGGCATTAAATGGTGGATGCTTACAATATTCAATTCACTAATGCAACGTTTATCAAATTACCATGAGGCCTCCAAAAATATCCACCTTGTAGGCCCATACTGACCATCATTCTTAACTTGAGCTAATTTTGTCATTTATTTTAACATTGAAAGTAATTTCTCTAATACTGAAAATATTTCTGTCACGTTACAGTTGATCTCTGAATAAAATTGCTAAAAATATCCATGTCAGACATTTATAGGTAGGCATGTTTTTGGAGAATGAAGAGGCCAAGAAAATGATTCTGAAATACCTACTAATTATTATATCTCAACTAATCAGTAGCTATTTTCAATTTTACCAGCTTCTTTTTGCTAACTTTGAGGAATGTGCTGATATTTTACAGGCCATGTGAAAAGGTCATTAATATGTACTAATTCATTATTGCACTTTTTTCACCTCCAGAAAAGTTCAGATCCAATATATTCTGTTTATTGACTACACCAAACAGGAAATTTCATTCATCAGCCCTGCCAAAATGATTTTGAAATCATTAAAACCTTTTTATCTGTCATTCACAAACAATTCGTCCACATTATTCTCTGCAACCAAGCTTGCTGGTGAGTGCTTCTAAACTTAGGTCCTTTGTAAGTTGTTTGTTGTGCTGCAACTGAAATTCCATATACATTTACAGCATCAAGTTTTTCCATTCAATTTTTGGCTGTAAAAAATTGTCTAATCAGTCTGAATGAATAAATTTTTCTCCTAAGAATCTTATCATCATGTTTTTTTTTTATTTTGATACACCATTTTGATTTAAACCAAGATGACTTGTATAAAAACTGATTAATATTCTTGTTCAGGTTGTAAAATATTTCTATTTCTTGGCTCTTAAATATATTATTAATACTTGCCACATTACTTACTGCCATAAAACTTCATTAATCGAATGTTACAAAATGTTCATTTCTACTGTTTGACCGCTGCTGTGCAGGTCTCAGTGGAGTAGTTTGTTGTGAGAAAAGCACCAAACCTTGCCGCTTAAAAATGTTCATTTCTACTGTTTGACCGCTGCTGTGCAGGTCTCAGTGGAGTAGTTTGTTGTCGTGAGAAAAGCACTAAGCCTGGCCGCCTAAAGCCACATCGTGGGCACTACCGCTACCGAGGCATCAAGACTCCTGATAGCACCTTCGTCACTTCTGGCACCAGCCTCGTCTCGCAGAGAGGTCTTGTCTACTTCCCAGGCCTCAATGTAAGCTCCATTATTGCTGGAAAATTAATAATTCAAAAGTTATTCCTTTAACTTTATTTCTTCCCTGCATGGCGCACACCTAAGTCTGTTGCAGAGGCATAAAAAGTTAGGATTGAATTAAACTTCATGTGAGTTTCACATGTATTTATAATACTAGCAGGATTGTCAAGTTTTGTGCAGGCCAGATAATCTTTTCACTGTGAGGATCCTGTCATCCCGAATCCCGAATCCCGTCATCCCGAATCCCGTCATGCCGAATCCCGTCATCCCGAGTCCCGTCATCCCGAGTCCCGTCATCCCGAATCCCGTCATGCCGAGTCCCGTCATCCCGAATCCCGTAATCCCGAGTCCCGTCATCCCAAATCCCGTCATCCCAAATCCCGTCATCCCAAATCCCGTCATCCCAAATCCCGTCATCCCGAATCCCGTCATCCCAAATCCCGTCATCCCAAATCCCGTCATCCCGAATCCCGTCATCCCAAATCCCGTCATCCCAAATCCCGTCATCCCAAATCCCGTCATCCCAAATCCCGTCATCCCAAATCCCAATTCCTGTCATCATTTATAAATTAACCTAAATTTACGTTCTTATACAATATAAAATTCGAATATGAAGTTCGGATTTACCCCTTCTCTTCCCGGTTGTAATGCCGCATGATTCTTACACATGATATCATTTCAGAGCCCTTTAATACACCGAAATGTTTTATTGCAGAAGTCTTCTATTTCTTTTGAGGTATTTAATGGATTTAAGTCAATATTTTACTGCTTTCCTGAAATTTCGATATCTAATCTAGTTTGATCGACCCTTCAATGATCGACTGATGTTTAATTCTCTTGAGCTTAAATGTACGTTCGATCTTAGTTCAATGAAGAGAATTGTTGTTCTTAGAGAATAAAGGAACATTTATCATACATGCATCACTCCAAGTTTTCATATTATCGAAGAATTAAGAGCCCAGTTAACGCGTTATTCACCATCTTGCTGAAATATGGATAATACGGTTCTCTGGTAATTTGCTCAACCTTCAGTATGTGTTCGTCCCCATTACTGTTCAGGTTGGAGTGGGTCGCGACTTCACGCTGTTCGCCCTGGAACACGGCCGCGTCTTTGTCACCACTGAGAAAGTTTGCCCAAACTGGAGCCACAGTTTCATCAAAAGATTTTACGGCCAATTCAAAGACAGCCAAGTCCCTATCTATAAAAATTACCTCCATGTTATACCTATACCGATGCCTAATAAATTCAAACTCGTCGAGCAATATTGAAATGAATGATGAAAATGATATCACTCGTTGTGCTTCGGGACTCATGTTTTTGCATTTCTAACCAACCTCGTCCAATTTTGTTTCTCGATAGAAAACGTACGTTGTCTTTTTTTTAACCGATTGATGAAATTAACAGAACAATTGCTGCGTTCCTATCTGTTATCAAGCTCTCAAGTAGCAATTAGCAATCTGGCAGAATGTAAACAAAACATGCAAATGCCATTCTTCATGTTATTTTTCATTGTGTTTTTAAGTTGCTGGAAATCATCGATGTGTCATAATGAACTTATTTTGTTATGAATCATATTCGCAGTAAAGTGACGGAGTTATTTGTACAAAGTAACTTGAGGAGCTCCAAAAGAAATTATGCCTTATTCATAAATCAAGGGTGCACCTAATTTTGTCTTATTTCTCCCTGAATGTTTTCTTTGAATATTATTTTACGTGTAGATATTATATTACTGCCAATGTAGTACAATGTAGCAAAAAATGATGGTTGTGATACTGTATTGTGATGAACTTTTCCAAACTAATCGTTGCTATGCCTGTGTAGGACCTCATTCTTACATCATGTCTCTACTTCTATTGTGATTTTTGCGACTTATATTTGATAATTAGGGATAAAAGTTTGGTCGCTGGCTGCAAATTATTATTCATTTTGTATCCGTTGGAAAATTCAAACAGTAGTTTTTTGCGCTTACTTCGCAGACGGGACCATCGTCATATTTATTCATCTCATTCAAGCACTGTCCACAAATCTATGCCATAACTTAGCTCAAGAAAGGATGGATTAAATAAGCCGGTTCATAGGTAATTCAAGTACGAGTAGGATTTCAAAATAAAAATTAATTTAAATTTCAAAACGAGTGTTAGTTTTTGGAGTTCATTTTAGGATGGAGATGAGAACACGCTCGCTTTTCATTCACCGGACTCAAAGCCCTGAAATTATTAAGATTGCGAGGCAGAGGACGGTTTGTTGCGTCAGTTGCGTACTGGAACGATTGGTTATTCATTTGCACTAGTTGAGCTGAAGTTCCAGGGCATTCATGTGCTTTTTCTTGTAGGAAATATTTGATTCTTCTTGGCATAAAACTAATAGCTCACTTGCTGCTCAATAAGCTAAGTCACAGCTTACAGTAGGCACATACGATAATGATAATAGCGGTATCAACGTAGAATATTAGACCATTACGCCTGTCGCCGATTCTAAACGTCGCAGAACTTTTCACAGCTTGTGGCGGATCTCGAACAATAAACTAATTGCTCCAGTAGCGACTGTACTGTGCTTAAGCGCACGGCCGGCCTCTTCGCCAATTTTGACCAGAACTGTCACAATAAGCTGGGATCAAACCCGCAACTGAATGCCGCTCATGGTACTCTGAACTTTAAACACTGGGTCACCTGTCCATGGTGTACAGACTTTTGATGCAGCCCTTAGATTATCAAATTTCCCATTAATTAAAGCCGGTTGTCCCACATGTAATGCATAGTTGACATGTGCGATCGCGTTGAGTGATGGTCCACATATTTATCGTTCTCTCCCCTCGATATGCTGGCATGTGACAAAAATAATGCGAAAAGCGCGTTTGCTCAGAGTGTGCTGTACTAGGAGAGGCTATTAGAATCGTCTAAAATGATTTGAAAAGATATATAACAATTAACAACCACTATATTGTCACGGCAAGAAGGCCTGTATGTGGTCTGAACGAAGCATTCGTTTCGACTAATTTGATTAAAATAGCCCGATTCCGAGATAGAATTGAAAAAACACTTCGTGTTTCAGCCACATACATCAGTGTGCCCTCACGCCATTCGTACATATCATTAACGGCAAAGTTTGCCGTTCATCTAAGTTTGCAAAGACCTTCGCATTTAATATGATCCGTCTTTACTTCAACAAGTATATGTATGAATTGTTCACGTGAATCTTATCTTCGTTTGAAGGCTAGTGGACAGAACCTTTTCTGCGTGGTGCTGTATAATCACGGAATAAAATTGAACATATACAAGAAGTTATTTAAGTTATTCTTTTCAGACGCTTATAGATATTTATTTTAATTTTTACAGTATATTCAAACCTGGGCCTTCCAAGTTTGTAGCAAATAATGTGGGAAATAAACTCAAATCGAATTGAATAAGAAAAAATTGAAATATTCACAAGTTTTTTAGCAAGATTGCTGCTTGTGTATTTTATCTTATTTGACTAAGATTCTGCCACTAATTTTAGTTTTTACGTCTATAACATAACATAGTGATCTCGGCGCTGAAGCGTAGGCCTGATGTGGCCTGTCGCCGATTCTTTTCCTTTTCGTGGGGTCGCCTGCCGAAGACCACCACTGCCCTGGATGTAATGGACCATCATGATTCCTGCCTTCCGGAACGTAGCCTTCAACATTTCAAGCCGTCCGGCCGTATCTAGGCCGTGGGTCGAACCAGCCCTCGGTCGAACGGCCACTTGTCGAAGGACGATAAATTTTGGAATAGAACTATGCTATCTGAAACCTAACCTCAGATGCGGTGAACGTAAAATTACGTAATTTAACGATGCCCGGAAGTCGTATTCGATCCGCGGCCTGGTGGTGCACGGCAGGTGGTGGTCAAGGCCGGAAGAGGACAAAGCCGAGTGGTGCACGGCTGATTGGTGTAGGTCCGGAGAGATCCAAGGCGTTCGATTCAGGGCTTATTGGTGCACAAAATTGGTGGTGCACGGCTGCGCTCCCCTTTTCGTGCCTTGTTCACAGAAGATCTAAACATGCCTATTAATGGTCTTTGTTCTTAAAATAATGTGAAATTAAAGCAGTGCCATGTTATAATTGCTAATCTATAATTAGCACTAATAATTGAATATCTATAGAAGTTAGCAATATTTATTTACAGCCGCGGATTAAATCAATTTAAATGAGTCGCTCAGACGACGTTAGCCGTCCGTGTGTGGTTACTACGGCATTCTGCGTTCTTTATTTGTAGAATCGAATCGATTTTTTCTGCTTTTTGTCATACCAGCTGCTTTAAATTAGGTTTGATACAGAAATGGAAGAGCGTAGGTAATCTTGAAAAGAACGTGCAAGCAATATGTCCAGGATATCATCAATAGGGACCTATATGAAAATATAAATGTGCTTATGCAGTATACACGTTCGGTAAAATCCATGTGTCTTCTCATTTTCTGAATAATACACCGTGGCATGCTAATGATGCAATGAGTATTTTACCGAAATAGCAACTTTTTAACAGTTCACAGGAGCAACCATTACGTGAAAGCACATCGAATGTCAGCAAATTATCAATAATTATGATGCTAGATCCAACCATATAGAAAGAGGCCAGTCATTCAGAAGACGGGTATATTCTTTAAGGCTTTCATCGTCGTTCTTCGCTGGAGTCCCGCGAGAGGCCTGGTAGCTCTCAAGTATCTGCTAATTATATCCATAAACATTCCTGCTTAATTGTCTAGGGAGTCTGTTGATGAACAGCGACACAACTGGCTCCGGCGTTCGGCCACATAAGAGAAAAATTCATAAGAGCATTTGTTGGGAGCTCCAGGGATTGATCGTAGTACAAAAGATGAGCTATGGTGTCAAAGGCAACCTGTGTTCAGCAGGGAGAGCCAATTAGTAGCTGAGTTACATTGTCGTAAAATGCCATGTTTTTGCCCCCAAATACTCGGGCGCAAACGAGAACAAACGTCTTGAAGGCCCTGAGATGACCTCGATGAAATCTTACTCTTCTTCGGCATTCTTTGGCAGCGGCGAATTGCGGGTGAAGATTTATCATCAAAAAATTCAGCGCTGTATAATGCCTGCGTAATCTAGTGGATCAATAGAAGTTCTTCGTCCATCAGAACTATTTTTGAGCCTAAATATACTCCTCTCTCAATTGCTTGTTAAGTTGTTAGGTCCCTAACGCAACCGTGTCGGTTGCTCCCTTTCCCAGTTGTTGATTTCTGTTTTTAAACTCGTATTCATTGCTGACGACTGTTGATCCGCCATCATCAACAGAAGCCTTTCGATTATGCTAACATTTGTTCTTTAACATCGAAAAACATATGGAAATCAGAAATTTATAATAATCTATTTGTTAGCAGAATTTTCATTCTGTACCCCTAGTCAATATTTTTTTAATGCAATATCAATTACTAGCTTCGACCTTGCATTGATTTTGTGTGAGTTTGCTTTTCCATATATCACATAATTTTTCGTACTTCACAAAGCTTTGGTAAATACGGCAAGAATTTTCTTAAATTAGTTTGTTTAAAATGTAACCTCTAATTTGCATAATTGACAATATACAGTTGAAGGTATTGCAAGTTTCAACTCCAATTATATATGTAGTTTAAGCCCATGCAAATATTGGTAGCTGTAAGCATGAAAGCCAGTAATTTTAACTGAGTATGCAAGCTTGTAATGCTCTCATAATCGTAAAAGTTATTCTAAACAACAACGAAAAAAATATTGACTTCTTGGAAACTTTAGTTATTGTAATCATTATTTTTAGCTTATAGCCACAAAAATCCGTTACAGCATGATTGTCTCGATACAATTTTATTTAAATAATATGCTCTTTCAACTCGTTCTTTGAATGGTTACACATTTCGATTGCAATATATCGTGCTTTCTATAATTGCGGGACTCGTACAGCCACCCGATGTGCTAATAGTTTCATATCGTACAACCCTGGGGCGTCATTATAGGCCTATTGAGGGGACTTCTTAATTAAACATCCTTAAATTATTTTATGTTTATTCATTAAAGTTACTATTCTTTTTTCACAAAGGTGTAGGCAACTTCAATATAAAGGGGTCTGGATATGTGGTTATTACTATAAACATACACTACATCCTTTGTTTGTAGTTGTCCTGCACTAGAGATGTTATCTGTTAGTGAAATTATACAGTCGCTCACATCCTGTATATCTCCTAGGGCTTAGTCCCCTATCCTCTAATTAAAAATATTGACTCTCCTGGTACAACGGATCACAAGGACATCACAGGTGGTATGCGAAAACTTTGAGAGTATTAACGAGTTTATTGATAATTTTTTACTCTGCTAACTGTTGCTGCCTAACACCAGATAGTCGGGAAAACATGAATGCCGTTGCCACGCGCCAAACATCTGGGCCCAGCAACCAATCGTTAAGTTCAAGCAGAAATTAAACTAACTTCCTTCGCTAATTGTACGCGCATGAATGTATGCTGATTGCAATTGATACTTATTCTAAACATTCAATATGAATTGTTATTTGGTAGTACGCGGCGGGCATGCAATATGAATTGTTATTTGGTAGTACGCGGCGGGCACACCTTGTGGTACGTTACGACTGTACAGAACCTGCAAGTGGCACTCGATTATAAAAGGTTAAGGAGCCACTGCCGT